AAAATTTTAACTTTTTCTCTGAAGCAATAACGTGAATTGGATCCCAAAATCGCAAATAATGTCCCTTTTCCATTGAGTGTAAGAACTCTAACGTGACCGAATCTCGTCTATTGGGTTGATGAAGGAATACTCTTCTTCACTGAAAGAACCTGTGAATTTATATGCATTAAAATATTTCTTCGTACAAATCAACCATCACGGGTGGAAAAGGCAATTAGCGCGAAAAAACATTTTTGCATTCCACCACCCTCTTGGTAGTTACAGGGTCCAAGAACGGTGGAGACGCTTTTGTATTACTTTCTTGACCCACTGGAAAGCAAAATATCTACAAAAAGTTATTTCTTTTTAGCAGGAAGAATAGTTCCAAAAAGTTGATATCCAGGACTTAAAAAAAATTTCTTGAGTGAATTTATTGTTCAAATCTACACGATATATCAGCACTTTACTGTACCCTATAATATTCGACCATTATTGGATAAAATAAAATAATTTTCAGGACATAAGTCCCAGAAGAGGACAAGTCTTTTCCATCTTGATAAATTTATAAAATACTAATTAAATGTTCAACAGAGAAGAAGGACTCAGGCTAGCCCCATTAAAAGAGTGTCAGTGGACGCGTATCGTGTGGCTAAAAAGAAAAGACGAGGGGACCTGAAAGAAGTAAAAGAACGGGTGTTTACTGGCCCAGATATCTTTTTAAACATTCCACAGGGTAGATATTTACGTAAAATTTTGAAACTGTAGCAACGCCAATTTCACTTTCACTTACAATGTAGCAATTACCACTTCGGCTTTAAGTGGACCAGTGAATACCCTTGCATAAAAAGTAAAGTCATTTTCTGTTGGTCCTCTAATAAAAAATGCTGGTATTTTTTGCCTGTGTCCCTTTATTTTTTAACCACCTCAATGCGGAAGTACTTTTTAGTCGTGGGTGTTGGAAAGGATATAGTGGGAAGGGGTAAGATGTACCTTGATAGGGGAAGTTTCCGCGCAACCACTGGGTGTAGTTTCTGGCAAAGGTGGCAGTAAGAGAATTAAAAATCTTTTAAGCTATGGGCGCAAGCACTGTTTTAGCCAGAACAGAGAGTTGAAACTGCCAATCACTTGCCAGGAGATTTGTCCGCTTACTTATTAAATAGAGGAATGTTAAAACCGACTCCATTAGAGGACTTAGCTCAACGCTCATCAACCAAAGTACTTGTAGAGATTTTTTGATAAAACTAAGGGAGGATACAGTATACTGCCTGATAACTAGACAGATGGGTGTTAAAATTTTGGCAAACCTGTGGTAATTTTGCAAATATCACTGGACAATTTCATGATAGGGAGAATTCGAGGATTTTATTTTTGAATTTTTCATAAAAATATACGCGGGGCAGATTTCTAACGCTAAAAGAAGCTTTTGTAAAATTTCGTCATATCTTAACGCTTAATTCAGTCTAAAAAAATGTATACTTTTGACAATAAATAACCAAAATGTAACAAAATGAGCCCATTACGGAATCATTAAACTATTGTTTGGTTAGGGATAATTAAAAAAAGCTCCAAGAATAATTGGTTTTTAATCTTCTACTGCCAATAGCATCATTTTTATTAAAAAGGGCTATTTTTATTTACTTTTTACTCACGTTGCTATGGTGACTTGATTATTGTCGAGTGGAAGTGGTCTAGATCGGTTTTTAAATTGAGCGCCAAAAAGTCTTAAGAATAGTCAATGTTTTTTCTGTAAAAGGCAAAAGCCACTTTGCTATTTTAAGGATTTCTTCAAAAATGTGCTACTTGGGTGCTAAAAAGCTAAAATAATGGACCCTAGACATGAAAGCATTACTCTCTATTTCCTCTATTCATTAAGGTCTTAAAATTCACAAAACTGACTCCGCGACATGCAGGCATGTACATGTGCAAGGCGGAGGCACCGAATCCCGTTTACCACGCACCTACGCCAATCGATCAGATCACTCAAGCCCTTTTCTCCCCTCCCAGCACCGCTTCATCCACCTCCTCCGCCACCTCCACATCCACTACCACACCAAACCCCTTCGATCCCTCCGTTGACAGCGGTATCAACACCGAATTTCTAGTCCAAGTGCAACCTATCCGCCTTATTGTTTTCTCACGTCCTCGAATGCTTCCTGGCAATCCACGACTGGTCAACACCAACCCATCCACTTCCCCTCCACCGCACAACTCCTGGACAACACGAGGTCGTTTTAACAACCACATGCGTTGGCGCCGAAGCAGTGAGACATCCTTACTTCCTTCGTGGGCCTACGCTAATCGTCCAGTAGCCCGAGAGGGTGAAAAGATGGTTCTGGAATGTGCGGCACGTGGGAATCCACCTCCAAAATTGATCTGGTTTAAGGGAGGAGGTGGCAGTAATCTACCACCCCCGGAAGGTCTTGCCTTTCTAAACGATGTAAATTTCGACGTAGGAATACGCGAGGCATTAAATTATCTCCCACTGACAGAAGCAACGAAATATTTGGGCACAAAGGTGGCTGAAGATGATCAACTCTTCCCAGCCATTATGGAAGCTCCCGCAACGAACAATCTGTCTGACGTGAAGCCCCTGACAGACATTGAGGGTGCAAATTTGACTCCGAGGGAGAGTGACTTCACTGGAACCCGACTGGACCGATTCTCAGTGGAGGCAGGATTAAGGAAAGATGATACTGGCGTTCCAGTGATTGCGGTGTCTAGACTGATTGTTGACGATTTAGGAGTGTCTGATGCCACTAGGTATACCTGTCTGGCTCAGCTGGATATGGAACCGCTTGGAGGACATGGAAATTGGACTGATGTTGGCAGGTTAGCGAAGGTCCTTAAAAAACCGAAAGATTGAATTCCAAATTGATGGCGTTAGCGTACTACTTGTGATTACATAATTTATATGTTCAATTAAATAAGTGGTCATAGATCATAAAAATTTGATATATCTAAAATTTTTGGACAAGCATTAATATTTCTTGCTTAGGGTTACCCAGCACAACTTCATTTTCTGCTAAATCTCCCTCCTAAGGTTAAATTTACTCTTCTCTGCATGGGAATTACGTATAGGTACCAAGTATTTCTTTTTAAGCACAAAGAGGAGTAAGATTTTCTGCCCAGAAGCGCAGCTTGGTAATTTCTCTATTTTTTATCTAAAGATTTGATAAAATGTAACTACTGAGATTGTTACTTTAACATCGGATCGGAAATTGTTGCAGTCTGATTAAAGTCTTGTAAAACCACTTTTTGACCGTGAGATATGCAAACGGACGTATTTTCGGACACCAAGTTGATCATTTGACATTGAAGCTATATAACATGTCCTAGGATATCACAACCCCAAACTGAAAATGAACTGAAACATTTATGAGAAGAAGATGCTGTTTAGCTACCATCAGGCAAAGTAGTGATTTAAGCAATAACAGGGGGGTGGAGAAAATATTTGAATTCGTTGCAATACATCACCCTTTTTTAAAAATGGAGAAGAATTGATAATTAATGGGATATATTCAGCAGGTTATAGAAGATCGTCATTAATAAAGCAGGTTGCAGCGAAGTGATGGGACCTAGTTTGTCGTCCACAAAGGAGTAATTTGATTTTTCGTGGCAAATGTAGCGCCTGAGTCTGCCAGAAGCGCCGAGAGGCTATCATCGCGGCCTGCAGACCAACCCGTAGAGAGAGGCACAGGGTGTAACCCCTGGAAATTGCAGTGTCCACCGAGCTAAACTAGTTATTGCATCACTGCAATAAACCTGGTGAATCAGTGCATATGTGATCACTTTAACTTTTTAGACGAACAGCCGTTTTTATATGTCGCGCGTCGTATATCTGTGACCATGTATAAAGAATTCTTAAAGAATTGTAGACAGCAAGAGGTTTTGGCTGAAAAAAGAAACAAACTAATTCGCTATTTTTTGGAAGCAATCACCTGTAGGATATACAACTGCAAAATACCAACAACCTACCATGCCGATAGTTCCAAATGACGAAGAATAAAGTGGTTTAGTAATGGTCCTCCTCCAAGCAGAGAATGAAAGTGTAGTTACACTGAAAATATTTGCCTACTTTAAAATAAAATTAGTGATTTTTAGAGCAAAGAAAGCAATTTTATGGGTAATTACCCAGCGCTACATATTTCCTTCAAAACTAGAGCAGTTGTTGGGCAATTAGAGAATAGTCTCAACAGAAAGATATTTTTAATCTGCTGCTGAATTTTACTGCTCGATTTTTCAACTATACCTTCTGCCTACTAAAGACACTAGTTGGTTTTGAAGAAGGCGGGCAAAGTGGGAAGTTATAAGGCAAAGCCAGGTCTTTTAAGACACAATGAAGTTGAGTTTGTCTGTCGAATTGCGAATCACATAAAGTTATTTAGTTCTATATGTTAGCAAACTGGTTGACTCACTTTGACTATGGATCCTAAACATATAATAAAGAATTGATTATGTCTAAAAAATGTTTAAGCTTATCCGACATGAAAATACGTCCGATTAATCCCCAGTTTTCTACTGTGCTTTCCTTTACTTCTTATATGAGTCATGAAAACGCCTCAGTGTTAATTTTTTTCTGTGTGCAAAATAAGAAAACGAGTAAAATGCCTTAAAGGGTAGAAGACAACAATTCCAGGCAGTAGTAAGTCGAGTCGTTTTTTTAAGCTCTTCCGCTTTCATTCACCCCTTCCTCCACTGAATACAAATGAGGGCTTTGGTTTTGACTGTCTTTTCAGACGTCAAATGAGCAAAGTATGAGAAGGTTTTGCCATAACCAGCATGTTAGTTTGAATCGGACTAAGCAGAATGACACCACCTTTAGTTTAACTATCCACTTGCTAGGAAGGTATAGTAGACAAAAGCGCTTCGGCGTTTTTCTACAGGGGGACAGAAATACTGCTTTTGAAAATTCGTAAATTTCTGAAAAGCATTGTTTTGTCATCGGTATAACTTTTATTTACAAGTAGGAGTTGTATCTTTGTAAAACCTTTTTGAGTCCACCAAAAGTGGGCTCTCTCTGTTGTCGGTAAGTAGTTTTGTATCCATTCCAGTTGTTCATCTCCAAATACTCATTTTTTTTGGAAAACCATAAATTCAAAATTTAATGTAGGTTGTCATTGTTTTATGCAAGGGTAATAAATAGTCCACCTGGGTGGAAATTTTCCCAAAATTCAGTGCAACACTACATGGCTAGAATGCAGTCATTGGCTCTGAGATGGTCTGTTCATGATCAAGTCTGAATTTAGCTGTAAATGCTTTCCAATTTTTCTGTTCTGCTGGCAAAATCTTATTAAATTAAACGAAATTTGCTTATATGTTTTTGAAAAAGACCCAAAGGTAGTTTTTTTGTGCACCCAACCTCCTCCATAAATAGTAAGACTGGCGTAAATGCGATCTGACAGTTAGAGATGACACCAACATCATAGTCGAGGGTAAAACTTTATCACGTGGTCAAAACACAACCTCAACTGGAAGTATTGTTACACAAAAGTCGGCAAAATTAAAACATATTTGATCCTGTATTTGCAGTAACTTATTTGAAAAGACCCCAGCTGCGCCGTTCATTACCGCTTTGTCAGCAAAAGTGGTCACAAACTGATCCCCACTTGGGCGCTTGCATTAGGAAATGCACCTCTTCCAACAAAAACCGCTTAAAAATGCAAATTTTGGTCTTCGAGTTTAAAGTATACTCTTTAATCCGTTAGGTTACGTCTAGTCTGTTCAGTGTCAGAGATGTCAATGGAACCAAGTTAATGGGGCAAACAGCCCGAACAAGCCCCAAGATTACTTCTTGATCTTATGCCATTAATTGCAAATATTATCCCTAATGCTCGATTTTTCATTTTTTAACTTATTTTTCACATTTGAGTGTTATCTTTGAACTGCCTAGAATGATTTTCTAACCAAAATGATCACTGTTCCTACTATTTGAAGGAGCTAATTTCGGTGTTGATATCATAAACTTTAAGAGAATCCCAACAGCACTAGCAGCTTTGTTATTTCGAAAGATGTGTCATTTTTACCCCCAAAACATTTTCCAATCATTCAACTTTAAGCACGAAATCGGCTTTGCTTCCTTATAGGATGGTTTAGTCATCTGTATATCATTTCTCAGGCTTCCTTTCTTAGGCAATAGGAAATTCTAGTATTTTTCTGTATTTTTAAACATTTTAAGGCATGATAGAGTCCCTGGCAGAAAAGTAGTTTTACTTTTAATATATTTTCTGCCACCACATTTATGTTGTCTGCAGCAATGGCTTTGAGGAAAATATTTAAATACAATAAAGATGCTGAAATTTCTGTAACCATTTAATTTGTTCAAGAGGAGTATCTGTGGATTGCAGGAAAATGTCATTCACTTCATACCAACAAGCAGACCTCTCACCTCACTTTGAATGCCACGAAGGAATAAATCCTTCTCTATCCTTTTTATGCACGGTTCTCAACGATTAAAAGACTCACTTTTCCACTCACAGATTTTAACTTTAGACTATATAGAAGGGAATGTTTTCAGATTTGCTAGTTTTTGATTATAAGAGGTGAAATTAATCACGCTGTGTTTGGACGAAGTCATAAATTCTTGTCAGAAATCTTGCTTTTATGGTCCCTTCAAAGTTGAGTGAACAGTGGCACTCATGATTAGCTCTTTCAGTCTTCTATTAAGAAAATAATTTCAATGTCTATACCCACTGCTTGAAAGAAATACTTTATCGCATCCGAGTTAGGGGGATTCGCCCTGCGGAAATCACCGACAGGTGAGTAGCACAATCTGGTTTTGACACTGTTCATTCCCACAAACACTTTTTCACCTTATTAGCCTTGTAATCAGCTTTATGCATTCTCAATAAACGTAATTTTGCTTTAATGATAGAAGAAGTACCTTTATTCCCTTTTTAAAGTCCTTGCAGACAAAAATCCTACTTAGTATTAACTCGCCTTTTCAGTCTCTCTTTTCTTTCGACTTGATGCGGGCGACTAAACTTGCCACCTACAATCACAAAATCACAAAATGAAGAAAAATATCTTTATCAAGTGTTTAAAAGACCCTTAAAATTGTTTTAGTTTCATATTGCTGATAAACTAGTGTTATATCTCGAGTCTTCAGTGAAGTCGAAAGAATTCGTGGCCTTAGGGCAGAGCTGAGGGGCTAATAGTATGGCCCGGAACCATGCCGCTTAGCAGAGATGCAAAAGCAGAGCCTCAAGTGTTGGCAAAACCAAAATGAGAAGTTTAATAAACAAGCGAGAGAGAAACCAACGATTTAGTACATAAAATTAAAGCTATTTTGTAAAATTTAAAAGTTTAAAACCACTGATTAACGATGGGAAAAGTCTTCAGCAAATAGTAGTTGCAAAGTTGACTTATTCATTCCCTTTGTTGTGAAAGAGGCAGAGCCTCTTTGTTACCAAGGCTACATAAGAAGGTCTCACTTTTTCAGCACTTACGGCCCTACATACACAAAGCCTTAGACTCCCAGGTGAAAACGTTAGGCTCCGAAAAATCCACTTTTTATCCTTCCATATTAAAACATGGCTAACTTTGACTGCCTGAATCCATTATTTATATAGAGAGGCTCACTGACACTCAGACGTTGCTCTCGTCTTATTAGCTTAATTTGGTAGGAAACCCATATCAAAATTCTTCATTTTTCTTACCCTCTCCCTACTAAAAAGAAAGTGCATTTCGAAAAATTTTCTCTCGAATAGCCCAATTAATTTGGGGAATGGGAGTTTAGAGACGTGTCTTTTTGTTAATAAAAACCGCCTGAAATGGAGCTGCATTTTCACCTTGAAGGCAGTAACCGAATTCTAGGGGTACTTTTAGCTAGTTAATGGCAAAATCTTTTTTTAAGAGAAATGCTTTAGGTTTCGCGCTAGTTAATTTAATTTGTTTTTGCCTAAGCGAAGGCTACTTTGAGTCTTTTCTCTTAATTAATGCACCCTTTAAAGCTCGACTTATCTACAGCGCAATTCCATTATGAAAGAGAGTTTTGTGCGAGAAACCAGGAAGGCAAGAACCACTCACGTAAAAGTAAACGCGGTTAATTGGTCAAAATGACTAAAAATTTGTCTCTTTGATGAAGAAGTTGGGTGCTCTTTGGCATTCTATGATATAGGAGACCTTAGTGGTATACTAGATACACCGGCGCGAATATCCAGTTCCATGCATATGAGGGATATAAACCATCTCAGGGTTGGAAAACACCTATTCCGTTTTTAGTAATTTCCTTAATCACTGAAAACTTAAATTGCTTTCTAATTATGATAGTTGTTGGCATACTTGTAAACATCTTGACGTTGATGACTTTGCATTAAAAGAATATGTAGACATGCATGAAATGAAGTCCCTCCTGCCCCTTTTACGAAAGAAAAACATCACAAAAGTGCAATCGAAAGACATCAAACTAGCATGTACCACCTTTTCCCTGCAAGATAAGCACAAGATCAAGGGCCATGAATTTCATCCTCTAATTTCATATTTAATTGTAGTCTTTTGCCATCAATAATCCTACTGCCTCAATTCGTGGCGGCTGGCACGAAACTCTACGCGACAGGAAATCCGGGCGAAAACGCTACACTGACTTGTGAGGCTCTAGGCGGTCTTTCAATTCCTGGAGGACTCCAATTAACTCTGCTTAGAGGATCGGGATTGAAGGAGTTGGCAGAACAAGCCATCAGTGCAAAGGGCTCCCTTCCTCCATCGACATTGATTTCGGACAGCCCTGTAGAGTCGTCAACATTTGCGGAAGAACGAGAGAAGCTACCGTTCAGCGAGCGAATTGAAACAATTCTGCCTGATATGGATCCGCGGTATCACCTCATAGCTGGGCCTGATCCCAAAAATCCTTACGCCGCGATGGTGCGATTAACGATAACTAGTGAGTGATGGGTAGTAAAAGCACCTTTACCATAAGATGTGTTAAGGATTAATAACATGTTTATTCTGGTTCTTAAGGCAGCAGAAAGTTTCATAAGCATCCTATATTGTATGCCCGAATTTGACAAATTCTGAAGACTGCTTACTGAGCTATTTGAGGGAGAGTTTAAATTCTTGCCTTCAGATAGCTAGAGGATACTTTAAAAGTCGCGCTGTTTGTCATTTAAAATCCGCCAGCTTTTTAGTTGCTCGAAAGAGGCACAATTCACAGTTGAAGCCACTCAACGGAAAGGAATAAAAACTGCAGTAAACCACTCTCTATTTAATTTACAAAATGTTTAGATAAGTACAAATTGGCTCTATTCATCGCTTACCATTTAAGGTTGATTTCTTGAAGGGATGGACGTAACAGGAATGGATAGCAAGCAGTATGTGCCATGCATGTCTGCGTATTTTGGAAACATTTTTCTGAATACCTTTGCGGGTCTACTGCGGTCTTACACGTCACGTAAAAGTAGGATTTTTGCCGGAAAGTGAAAGCATTCGGAAGATTGTGGAGGTCTAAAATGAGCGTTATATGCCCCTTTAGAAATTACTTTATCCAAATTCATGAAATTAGAACCAAGTCGCACATTCTGCTGAACCTTGCTGCGCTAAATGCGTTCCTAAATTTGCTCTACAATAAATATAAACCTCTCAAAATTGGGGCTAGAGAGAAAGCAAGTCAATCAATTTTCCTCAAAGATCGTTTTTCCCAATGCTTTGAAACCCTTCACATCAAGTTCTCCAAAGCCATCGAGCATCAATACACCTGAGCTATCAAATCCAGTATGATTGCCAAATCTATTTCTTTTTTACGCAATGAGACAGACTTCAGTTTGTTCTCCTTTTTGCATGTTGCCAAAGTTCATGCACATATTACCTCAAGTCAATTTGCTGAAAAAAGTCTTCCTATATTTCAGTAGAGATGACTGGCTTTTCCGGATTCCTCTCATGATTTAAAGGAATTTTGATTTTTTAATTCCAATTTCGACTAATTTTTACCACTTAAAACCAGACACTAAGTGCAATTGAAGTGCTCAACAAAAACACTTAAAAAATACGTGTACAGAGCCTCCTCTTCTGAAGAAAAAAAAACTGGTTGAAAGATGTCCTTCCTAACGAACATAAACTCATCAGCAAGGCAGAAGAGTATCATTACCAATTTTAATGGCCGTTGGTGGAATGAAATTCTGTGACCTGAAAAAGGCTAAACCTCGCCAGCGCACAAAAAGTGGGAAAATTCATACTAGTTACTTTCAATTTGACCAATTTTGCTAAGCCTCTGCCAAAATACTTTTTCTAAAGGCGCTACAAATTTGGAACACAAATAATGACGATTATATTCCAAATTATTTTGGCCATAATTTATAATCCGCAAATCCGACTTGATTTTAAGCGTATAATTAGTGCTTAAATCTCAATTCATAAGTGACCGTTCACCTGATGAGTAGGGGTTTATGTGGTGTTTAATAATTTTGATTGACTCTTTTTAAAAAAATTTTAGGAGGATTCACCTGTTTAAAACCCCAACTTCAGTTAATTTATTCAAGGAGGAAAGATCCTTTTATTATAAGAACTTTAAATGCCAAGTTTTAGGTGTCCCGCCAGTTTTTGCAAGCATCTCACTTGTCATTTCGAATTTCCAAGCAAGTATTTTCAACCATTGGAGACCAAATTTATGCTACATTTAGTTTATTCCAAAAAACATTCAGACGGCTTTATTTAGAACGTAAAATTACATCAAGTACTGCATTTCATTGTGCCAGGAGTGAAACGCAACTGTTGTTATTACAAAAGCAATCTGGCGTTCAAATGAATCGGCTTTTTAGTCGAAATGCCTTGATATAGAGCTCGTTTTGGCCACTATTTGAATTAAAAGTGGTAAAAAGTGCCCACATATCTATTTACCAGCTTTGTTATAGTTGATATCTTACCCATCCATTCATTTACAAAACATGAGTGATTAAATATAATACATGGAACTTATTCCTCTTAGGGTGTTGGTAAATATAATGCTTCCGAAGACTGGAAGTTCAAGTCCATAAATGTGAGGTATGTTAACCCTCATTGCACTTGCCATTAATATATTAATCTGCCGTATTGATAGCGCTAAGAATAGAACTGATTTAACAGAGCTTTACGTGGATATATATCTTCCTAGAACTAAAAATAACGCCCTATAAGTAATTTTTACAAAAGAATCGCAGAAATTTGGAGTCACTCTCCATTAATTTGGTGACGATTTAGAGTTATTTTATTTAAGCATCATTAAAAATAGCACAGTACATTTTTTTTCGTATACAAGTACCTAAAACATGTCCCACATTTTGTAACAACAGAATTCTGCAAAAGAGCTAATAAATTTTACAAAGAATTCCAACTGACCGTGATTAAAACACTTTTGAAACAAAAAATCTTTCTTTTTATGCCTTGATTTGCAACATCCGAGTCCCATTTGTGTGAGGCTGCAAACATTCCTCAACAGATGGTATTTAACGCATTTGCCCGTTTCCAGGAGGAGCGACTGTGGGTAAGCTCTTTGAGCTTACAATAACGTATGCTCTTGGTTTGCAGAGGAGTTGTCTTTACAATGATTTAATTTTATGGGGCACACGCACAAATCCTGCCCTCCAATTGATTCACGGCCCCATAGTGGACATTTTGAAAGGGAATACAAATTGGCGTATATGGAGAAAAACTTTTGACCAAATTCTTCCTTCTACAACACAAACCACTTCCTTTTAGGATAAAAACTAAGAATATAAAATAAAAAATAATATTTATGTGGAGCTGCAAGAATCTACTTGGCGCTTATAGACCTGTGTGAGCAGTAGAACATTAAAAATTGCAAATGGCATCTGTCGGGTGGGGCTTATTTTAAACTGTGCACCTGTTAAAATTCTTCGTCTGTCTCGTCGTAGTCAAACAAAAATGCCTAAGTTAGCACCACTACTACACTGATACTCACCACCCTAAATAGGTTTGGTCTTTTCTTTTTGATTTTATTTCTGTATGCTGCTGGAAAGCTGTCTCATATTCTGCCAGCTCTTGGCTTTGATGTAGGGCACCAGCCTGAGGAGATAATGTCCAGATACGCACACACGTGTGCGTGTTTCGTCCGAGAGAGCTGAGGGGGCATAAATGATTAATGACTTGCGATTTGTCAAACTTTAAACAATGGAGGAGACCTTTTGAACTGTGAATTACCTAGTTCTTATTTGGGAAGAATTGTAGATAAATGTGGCTGGACGAAGTATAACTTAATAATTTTACGGTAGCAATTGCAAACTGTAAATTAACGTGAGATTTTTCCTCTTTCTCGCTTTGGATTCCTCCCTAAAAGTTAATTAAATAAATTATAAATAACTAATTAATGGTTGACTTTTATTATTTAGTGCATTTTGTTTCCAACTCTGATATAAGTAATAGCGGAGAGAAATGATAAATGTATTGAATGAATGAAAGGTTCAGAGTTGTTAAATTGCGTAGGCATTGTCTTCCTTAGCCCAAAAGTCAAGGGATTTGTGATTTTGCCCATATTCTGTACAAGGCGCAAATAGGTGAATAAACTCATTTATTTGTAATACTTTATTTAGTTTTTCAGCTTGTAAATTGTACACACCTTGACAAACAATAAAGACCTGGGCCTAGGTGCTGGTAGTATAGCCAAAGAAGTCATTATACTAGTTTAGTAAAGGGTTCGCCTATGTACAGAAGGTCTGAGAGGCTGCTGGCATAGCCCAGAGACCACGCCGCCCCGCGGAAGACCAACGATGGGACCTATGTGCCTACGTGTCCCAAATGAAGACTTAATTAAGCAAAGTATTACACAGCCCATTGCTCCCATTTTGAGTGTTGTCTCCGGAGCTCTTCATTATCAACCTTTCTCTTCGAACAAAACTACGTAGTTGATGCTGTAAGAAAAGCACCCACGAATCAGCCACACCAGTCAACAAATCAGCGCGAAATTGGAAAGACATTTGCCCGCAAAATCACTACACCCTCAGCAATTCCGCTAGATCTGAAATTTTATTCCATTTGGGAACTACATTGGCTATCTCATATGTCTATAGCCAATTGGAGAGCACTGAACTAAAGGCAGTTGTTTAATAAAAGACAGGGCTTTAAAGTAATTTTGTTGGAGTTAGGGATTTGCATCTGTTCCTCCCTTGCCACTTTGTTTTCACTGCAGTGATGCCAACCATTTCTATCTGCGTTTAATCCAGCTAGTGGAGAGGTGGAGGGGGTGACGCGTGTTCATTTAGCTAGCATCTTTATCAGGTTTAGGAATAGTATCGGTTCACTTGTCGATAGCATTCCTCCAAAATATGGGACCGAGGTGGTCGACTGTGGTAAACATTAATTACAACCTTTTGTTAAAGGGTGTCACAGATTTGCCCATCCACTGCATATGGCCTTCATCCATTCCGTTATTGTTTAGCATTCAGTAATCGAAATAGAAGTAGTTGACCTCTCGGGTAGGGTTTGCTTTCAGCTGCCATCTGTGTAGCGCATCGAGTCTTCCCAGAAGTCATAAGAAGTAATAGTATTATGGCAGAAGATTTACTACCCACATACGGAAGGGCTAAGAAGCTACTGGCATGGCTCAAATGCCATGTAGCCCGACAAAAGTACAATGTTGGAGCTATCAGTCCTCACAAAACCAAAATGAAGAGCCAAGTTAACAATCAAGGCACAACAGTAATTTAAAAATCAGTTTAAAACTTATAATATTTTTCAAAAAAATCAAACTTTCTGCAAAAGTGTTCTCAAATAATTCACTGCCGCAAAAATTCCGCTAAACATTTGGAAAAAAGTATTAAATATCTTTGCTTTATTAATTGCTCCAACACTTAGGTGCTAAGTTCGCAAGCATCAAAACTCAAGACACTTGCCCTTTGTTTGCCGTGAGCATCTGAATTCATATTAACAGAAACTTGTTTTAACTGATTCTTTTCATCAATGTTTCGCGCTTAGAATTGTGTCATCCGATTGTCATTTGACGTCATTGTGGTTAAATTAATCAAAGCTGCTTTTGAACCACTGGAGTGGAAATTATTTTTAAACAAAGCATTCTCCTCTTTTGATTACTGAAAATCAGATTCTTATTTGTACAATTCGGCTCACCAATCAGATGAGTGTCAACATTGGAGGCCACAATTAGCATCGACTTAATGGCCTGGAAACCATCGAGCTCTCTTTGGTGCACAAATGAATAGTGAATAATTCCAATGAAACCGAATTACAAACCAATTTTTAATTGTTGCAAACAACACTTTCAACAGCAATGAAATTGTCACTATTTATATTTGAATTGGTGTAGCATTCCGAGTCTTTTCCGGATTTGGAAGAAATACTATTGGGGCAGAATGTGTGCTATCAACGTAAAGAAGGGCGGAGGGATTACTGACATGCCTCTGAAGTCATGCCACCCAGCGGAAGTACAGTTTTCTAGCATTAAGTGCCCGCGTATCTAAAACATCGAGTTAAACTAACAGAGTATTACACCAAGGTGCAACTACTGACACATTCATTACCGATGATGGTGATATTGCAACGTTCTACTTCCTGTCTGTCGGAGTCGTCTTAGATGCCTGTAACCGCGGGTTCTGAAAACAATGCTTTCTTACAGCTAGTAGATTTTACTTCATCACATTCTTCTACAAATATTTTGTGTTTATGTTCTTTCTTGTGTTACAATGTTTCCTCAATTAAAAGTCAGAAATTAGCACATTTGAAGGATGCAGCTCGGGGAATAATGTTTGTTGCTCCCAGCCTAGCAGTTTCGCCATCAACTCACCAGATAATTTCATTTAGGGCGATCGGGCTTTTGTGATAGTCGTGAAGCCAAAAATACCAGAAATTAGTGTTGTTAATATATAAGCCTACTTAAGTAAAATTTTTTTATCTATTAAGCAGAGCAGTTTAGATCAAAATTGAGGAACACACAACTGATCTTTTGTTTATATCCTTAGAGAAAAAGTGGATGATCAATTTCTTCTGGTTTAATTAAAAAATCTACACTGGTTTTTTGAATTACAATCAACCAGTCCCGTAATTTCGTCCCTGTAGTTAAGCGCTTTGGCATTTCCATCTCTTTAACGGCGACGCCTTAATCATCGGCGGACTAGGTCCGTTTTCCCACCTTATCATACTTCAATATTTTTTCGGTAATTTACTTGATTTTGTTCTTGTTGAAAAGAATACAAATTCGAAAGCGGGAATGAATTGCAGCGGGATTGCTATGCAAAGTAATTTATCTCATGTACCAACATGTTATTAATTGCCATCCACATGTGTGAGCAAGGGCACTGTCGAGACCCTAACCAGAATAACTAAAAATAAAACCTCATTTCGGAGGTCGTTTCTGCCAGTGAGGTGAGGACACTAGGTGGACAGCGCGTGCGCAAGTGCTGGTAAAGTTCATTTGGAAAGTCTTCATTCGTACCCGTTTTTATCGTTTTGAGTGACCTTGACCTTACAGTGGTCATGCTGATCACTGAAGAGAACTCATTGCCCACACGAGTCAAAAAATTTTCAAGAATATTTGAAAACTAGACGTATAAGTACAAACGCTCCTGCTTCTGAGCAAAAAAGTGAGCAAAAATTGTACGGAGTTGTCTACTACTCAAATCGTTCAGGAGGCTTGTTTATTCTGTAGACGTTTAAAAATATGTTTTGTTTTTAGTTGCCTTGACAAATCGCATCAGTTTCACTTTTTGATTGGATGGAACTTTTCACGTTTTGGGTTGTTTTTCATGGCCTTTTTGTAAGTAAAATTAAGACGTGCATTAAGATATAAAACGAATTTTGAGGAAGTAGAGTACGAAAGAGGAAAGTTCTATTTGTTAATTAGAGGGTGCTAAATAAAACTCTTAAGGCCCAGAGATTCTCCACAACCATTTTTCAAAAAGCTGAGGAAAAGTAGACAGGGCTGGATTTACTCAAAGGTGCTATAATATTTTTGCCCAAATTTTCGAATTCCGCAAGGCAGAATTTTCGTGCAATTTCACTGAGTGCTTTGAGACATAATTTTGAAAAGTGCTGCAAACACTTAATTTGTGGAATTGAGGATGCAGAAATCAACCATTTTGGATATTTTTGCTGAAAACAAGCACTTTTTACACCTGTAGAAATAAATATGTCCTTTCTAAAAATTAAGACGTTTTCATCAAAGCACGTTGATGAGTCCAGCATGAAAAATACGGATTTATACTAAAAATATCCTACAAATTCTAAAAAATCTCTCATAAAGGGAACAAAATCCAGGCAACTGTTATGCTTTGAACTAACAAAGTCTCAGATTACATTTAAAAAAGGTAGATGAATTTCCTGCTGAAAAGTGCTGATTTTTATCTTCAACAACCTTCAAGTACTATGCGGGTAAATTACAAATTGAGTAAGGAACACAACACAATCAAATTCAGAAGTTTAATTATTTTGCTCAAATTTTGTCACAATGGAGAACTTTCGGCAAAAATTCAGTTCCAGAGGGCGAGAGATAAACCCTTAATTATATTGTGAAGAAGGGAAAATGGAATTTCCCATCAACATTGCTTCAAGAATTGCGGTCCTAGTAAGAAACCAATTCTTAAATCGCCGGTGCATAGTTTAGTTTACAATTGAAAAGCCAGGCTACTTCAGCAACTAATTAAAGAGTTGCTTAACCTTCTAATATTTTGCAGTTAGACTAGATGAATTCCTACCAAAATGCATAAATCATTCATGAAGTAGTCCGGAAAAATCAGTGCCAACACATTCTGTAAGTTCTCACACAATACGCGATGGTCGAACCGCCGTCTGACAAAAACAACTCCAATTATTCACCCAGATAACAAAGACGTTTATTGTCCGATTCATTACCATTAGACAAATAAATTTTTGACCTCTCTTTATACTTTAGACTTTGGCATATAGGACCTTTATGCCTAAGAAATGCCTGACCTTTAAAAAATTCTGGATGCAAAGTGTTAAATATCAATTACTTGACATGGGAGCTTAAACGAGCTATTTTTATCTTTAATTAAGATCTTCGGCCAGAGGACAACAACTACTACGTCTGCAAGGCTCAAAGTGGAGACAATTGGATTGCCTATGCTCCTTCACCTGAAAACGCTCTAGGACGTCTCTCGGTGTGGTTTGCACCCCCCAAGGCGGGACCGCCTCCGAGGGAGGGCGTGACTACAACGATGGCACCAGGAGATAGCGAAGGTGGATGGGAGGTGATGTATGGACTGGCTCACAAACCATCAAGGCTAGAATGTCGATCGTTGGGTCAACCACCTCCACAGTGGACATGGACTGGTCCTGCTATTCGCAAAGTCATTGATCCCGTGTCGGCAGGGGAGGTTATTGAAGCTGATGGGTAAGTGACCGACATTTGTGTAGAAGATGGAGAAAAGGCCTTTGGTTTTCTGAAATATTTCTGGTTTAATGCAAAGTTGGCATTCAGGTGATTGGAAGTACTCAATGTTACAGCTAAAATGTTTTTGCTAACAATTCTGCTGTTGTTTGAATCATTAACTTTTCTCTTGTGATGTTGAAAAGAATCGGGGATTCTACTCTGTTTCAGTCAAAGAGGACAAAAGAGAACTATTAGGTGAAATGATGAAAGCAGATGGTAGTACTGAAAAGTAGGGTAAAATTTGCTTTAACGAGAATCATTTTTTCACTTAAGAATTAGTTTGACACTCCTGCACAATCCTGGATTTAAAGGTGGTTATACTTTGCCTCATTTGCTTCATTGATTTTACTTATAAATTTCATGAAAGACAAGTGCAGCTTAATTAACTATTTTTTTTAAAGTTCCTCTGAAGCCTAAAAATGTAATGTATTGTGTTACATTCTGATTCCATAATTGTACTTTTGGTTTGAAGAAAATACAGCACATCTGAGTATCTGCAAAGTAAAACAAACCCTTTTTTAAAGAGTTTCATGTTGTTAAAAAACCTTTTACTCACTTTATCTAAAAATTCAGTTTTTTTACCAGCTTTGAAGGGTTTTGTACTCCTTTTTATAGCAATGGATAATCTCAAAATGCAGTTGAAACGTAATATACTGGAAAGACTTTTCGCAGTCGAATATGCGACTTTACAGGCACCTGATTCGTCTTGTTGTCGTCTTTTATGCTTCTCGCTACGCCACTTCCGCCATATCATCAAAAGTCTTCTAGTTACTTGTATACTATTGCACGACGAGGCGAGCTATGATGTTGTGCATTTGTATGGTCTGCGGAAGGCATCCATATTTCAGTCGTGACAACGCATATTATAAAATGGAGTAGAATCTCCATGCACATTAAGTCTCTTATCAGGCAAATCCATTTGGATAGGAATTTATCTGGAGAGCAGATATGTTCTACTTAGTAATTCCTATTTTCGTACTCCCTTTGGTTAAGGCTAGAAGTGCAGGTGGCAGAAAGAAAGATCCAAAAAGTCATTAGGGCAGCCAAGCGTGGGGAAATTAAAACGGCCTTACGGTTAGATGTACACCAGAGACAGCTGTTTTCCCTCCTAAATACTATTTCTTAATTATGAAAGTCTGGTATCTGAGTTCTTTTTATGATATAAACCCAACCGCCACAGCAAACATATAAACTTCAACTCAATAACTCAGAAAAAAACATTTCAGATTGTTTGCTAAAGCACTTATCAAAGGGTTAAGTGTAGGTCCTCTTTACGGCAGCAGTTATAAAATGACAAACTGCAACTGCGTCGTTACCGCGTCTGGAAAACATGCATATGTGTGTACATTCATTGCCTTTTGGCCTTGGTTTGTTTTAATTACTGTCCAGCCTGTTTTAAACTTGCTTTAATTTGATAATTAATGCTTTGAGGGCAAATTCCATGTATTTGTTTTGCATTTTGATATGTCTTGAAAGCAAAGGCTCCAAGAGGTGGAAATGAGGGCTGCATTAGCTAGAAGACCTAAAAAATATTAACTAAAGGCTTAGAGGGGGTAAACTTTTAATAAAAAACTTTTGAGCAAAAGTGCATTTTGTCAAACGTTTCTAAAAAACTTAATAATATATTTTAATTGCACAATCCTGAGTTGGTAAAATGCATCCTATGGTGTGTGGACAATGCATCATCATTACTTAACCAATGACCAGTCCAAAAAATTTGACTTCGATATGGCAGAAAATCGCTGATATTTAGTGATATTGAGTCCGAATTCCAGGCAACACTTCATTATTCTGCCTATAGTGCCCCTAGTCTTTCCTAGAGCAAAAAGAAGTCAGCACTAGGACAGAAAATGTACTATTGCTGACAGCCCGAGGGCAATGCCGCTCGGTGGAAAACAGCATTAACCGAGCCTTAAAATTCCGCGCACTCAAACTAGAAAGTTAAATAAGCAATTGAAGTATTTTACTGCTTCTTTTAAAAAAATACAGGCACCACTCACGATGTTTGGTCTTCAACCCAATAGCCCCGTGCTGTGGATGTCTCCTTACACAATTTCAAAGATATTTTCGAAGCAAATTTTGAGGTAATATAATATTTGTCTAAAAAGTAACGAACTAATTTGTTTTTTCTTCTGTATTTTGTGTTTCCTTCTTCAAAACACCGCCTCATTTTAATTTTTGTGTGCATCTTTTTGCACCCTTTCGTCCGGGGACCAACACAAACAGATACGACTGTTATAATTAAGCGAAACACCTAACCAGCATAGTGTGTCATATTTAATTTACTTGAAGAGAAAAAACTCATTAATGGCCGTAGGAGTATTTTTTTTCATAAACTAGTTAGCACTTCGCCTCGCACACAATTTAGTGGACAAAGGTTTACCAAGACTTGAGCTACCAAGCATGGCTGAATGAATGAACAGGAATACCTTAGGGGATTATGATCACAAGATGAGGTACACATTTCTCATGACTGAATGACGGTTGAATGACTTAAGAGTCTCGAGTGCATTAGTGTACGTGCAAATTGTTGTGAACCTGCCCTCCTTAACATC